CTTGTATGGTTGGTATGATTGTGTCTCGTCTCTTTCCTGCGCTTAGGATTCTCCATACTTCACTACCTTTCGCCTCGTTCATCGTCTTTTCCCGCTGGTCCGCTTTTGCTTTCCGGATCATGACTGTCCATTCTCTGCAAGCCTTCCGGTGTTCCTCCACGTGATTGAATTTCCTTGTATTTCTCGCCTTCCTTTCTGCTGCGTTTACCCTTGCCTTCATCTGTTTCATCTCATCTGACCACCAGGAGTTGGCTCTTACCCCCTCCTTCGAGAGTGGTGTTACCATGCTGACTGTTGACCTAACCAGTTCTAGGAAGAAATCGACAGTTTGTTCCGTGTGTTCCTTGGTTTCCCATGCCTCTGCAGGGATGGAGATGTTTGACATGTGGTTCTCCAATAGCTTCCAGTCTGTTTGTCGCCACATTCGTCTTGGAACAAAAGGTGGTTTTTCCAGGTGTAAGTGGACGGAGGTTCTCCCGTGGTCTGAGCCCGCTCCGTAGGGTTCAGTACTCCATCGTAGGTTGTGGTCGAGTGTTGGGCCTTTTACAAATGCAAGGTCGATGGTTGTGGGCCTTTTCCCTCTGTCTCTGGGGAAGTGCGTAAAGACGCCTGGTTCGTTCAGGAGGGTCAGTTTCTGTCGGGTTATCCATCGTTTTAACCGTGCGCCGTTGACCCGGTCTGCTCGAATGTTGTTTCTGTACTCATGTGAATTTACTCCGTACCACATCTGATGGTGGCAGTTGAAGTCTCCCATTACTAGACAGTTATCAAGGGTTTGGATTGTACTTGCTATTTGGGCGAAGGGGCCACTTCGGCCTGGGGAGTATATGTTTAGGATTTGGGTTTTTTTGGTTTGGATTTCTACCGTAATCGATACTATGAAATTATCGTGTGTGTAGTGGTGTTTTGGTTTAAGATTGACATGTTTGCGGACGTATGTTGCACATTTTGTATTGGTGTTGCTGGCCGTAAAAATATAAAAGAGATTTGATTCTGGTGGGTATCCCTCTGCTGAGGTCCATGGTTCTTGTAGTAATAGAAAATAAATACTAGAGTCTGTTTCCGCTTCTTCTACCGCCGCCTTGGTGATAAGTTCGCTCCGTGCACAATTGAGTTGGTGTGCGAGCGCGGTGGTTCGAGGCCTAAGCATTATTTGTCATGTGTTGGTCGTCTTCGGGAACGGGTGTTGCTCCGACTGGGGCGGTGGCTGGTACTTGAACTACCGGAAGCGGCTCCTGGATGGGTGCGGCCGGTGGGTCTTGAGCGGGTGGAGCGTTTTCCTTTCCTTTGAGGAATCGGCGTTTGACTCTTTCGGGGCATGCTGGGTCGGAGGCCTTATGGATTCCTTTACAGTTCAGACATCTAATTGGGGTGTGGGTGCATCTGTATCCTCCCTGGCATTGATTGCATGGGTGGAAGCTGGTGAGATGATCTCCGGCACAATGACCGCATCTCCCACTGTTTTTGCATTTCTCCTGGCGGTGACCGTATTCGAGGCACTTCGCGCATTGGGTGTCTGGGAAGGTTGGGAGGAAGGCCTCGATGTGGCAGCTTCGGTTAAAAAGGGATAGGAACTTAACTCCTAGTGTTTCCATTGTGACTTGTCCTGGGAGCGCGATGACCATTGATGAGTGGGTTTTCTCCATTCGAGTCTCTGCTCTGGAGATCCAGCGGGGAACCTGGGCAAGTTGGAAGTTATCTCCATAATTGCTTCTAATTTCGGATGCTACCAGTTGTCCGGCCTCGACGCCTTCTCCGACCGTTGTGGGGATTCCGTGAATAAGGAACTTTGACCATTTGGAGTTTGCCCGGATGGTGGCGACTGGTACTTGTAGGGTGAGGAGAGCCTCCTCAATTTCTTTGGCATACTCCATTGCCTTTGTCGCTGGGGTTACAAACTTTGTTTCCAGGATAAAGTTGTCCTTGGGTGTTCTCCTTGCTGAAATAAAGTGGCAGGATTCGTCCTGAATTCTTGCATTAACTAAGGTCCTGATCTCGGAGGGATTGGCGTCGGATGGGGCAGTGGTTTCAACAATGATTTCTTTGTTGATTTTGGTATATTCTGGCTTGAAGAGAGGGTCCGCTTTTGGCTTTGCGGACTTCTTTCTTCTCTCTACAACTTGGAAATTTCCTTGAGCAGGGCCGGGTGCCGAGGCCACGGCGGCCCAGGTGCCTGCTTTCCATCCACGGGGAGGGGCTTGTTGGGGGGGTGCGGGTGGGGGGGCCTGAGGAGCTGCCTGAGGCGCTGCTTGGGGAACTGTTTGGGGGACCGCTGGAGGGGGCATTCTCTGTCCCTGCGGTTGTTGTGGTTTTCGCTGTTGTTGCTGCTGTTGCTGTTGTTTGTTTTGTTGTGGTTGCTGCGGTTGCTGCGGTTGTGGTTGTTTGTTGAGGAGAAGATGGATCGCCGAGTGCATGTTGGTGATCATATTTGTTTGCGCCTCGATTTGGTGCCTCAGTGTGTCCACTGTTCTCCGGAGTGTGATCGTTTGCTCTTCGAGGATTTCCATCCTGTCGGTGGGTGGGCAGATTCGGCTGGTGGCATGTCTAATGGCCCAGGTAATGTAGTTCAGGTCCGTCTGGGTGTGAGTGTCCTGGGGAACGACGCTTGGGTAGAGGTAGTCAATTCTCGGTTGGTATGGGTCATTGTAGTCGGATTGTGTTGCAAAGGTCGAGGAGAATTCTTGTTCCTGGGCTCCGGATGGGGTTGGATCGGGAACCGGAGTGTTCCTGTGCGGAGGGGCTGACCCTTGCTGGGAAGACTGGGTGAAAAAGGACTGGAGCGAGGCTTGTTGCGACATAATTGAGTGTCCAGTTCTTCTGGCGGCGTAGAGTGATGTTTCGGAGAGGTTTCTTTTCCTTCCCTTTGGGAGGTCAAGGCTGGAGAATTCTTCGCTAGAAGCCAGTTTTCGTGGTATATCTTTCGCTTGGAACAACAAAACGCGACCGTACGATCGGGGACGAAGTGGCTCAACCTGGTATGGTATACCAGGGTAAACCGAGGGGAATAAAATAAAGTGTTTTTGAAGCGAGGTTTATTGTTAGGGAGTTTTTGCGAGCCTTAGCGAGCAAGTAGAATACAGAGAGAGAGAGAGAATCTTATATTGCATAGAAGCCGAAGCTTATCGCACACCTAACTACCCGACTACAACCTCCACCGACTAACCCGAAAGCAAAAACGAAGTACAAAACTAACTACCGCAGCTACAAGAACTGCGTACATAATAAAACAAAACAGCGCACGAAGAGGGCGCGAATAACAAGTGGTACAGGTAAGCAGAATCTAAGCGACAACAAAGAAACCTCCCCGTAGTAAGAATAAAAACCCCAAACTTCTCCGTCAACTACATTAGCGAGCACAATCCTATACGTAGTGTTCAATCGAAACGATATCATTACCAACGTTCCCGGTGTCATATCTGTGGACGAACCTTAACAGGACTGGGAAACCACGCGCACGAAGGCAGGAAAAACCAACCGCAACAGCGTCAGGGGTGAAAGCGAGGGGGGGTGGGTTGAGTATTGGTCCTCGAGCATCTGCTTGTCAAACAGCGAGGAAGTAAAGAGTGGTGACCGGTAGGTCAAGTAAGGAGTGGGTGGGGTCGTCGGTCCCTGGAGCAACGGCTAAAGACTGTGCCCGAGTCGTGTTTGAAGTAGTGTCCTCTGGAGGGGACATGCAAAAAGGGTTGAGCCGAAGGCTCAGTATGTATGGGGGTCGCAATCGAAAGTGCCGACCGTATTGTGTTAAGGGTGGTCTCGGAGACCGGTTGGGTTTGGGTGAGGGGAGCGGGCCGCCTCGGGTAAAAGTGGGTGGCCTGGTTAAGGCCGATAAAGAGGGGTAAGGTCACGGGACCTCGGGTAAAAAATTTGACGATAGTTTCGCGACCGAGAGGTCGCTAACTTCGCGGGCTGTCGAGCGCTTTGGCAGTAGGTTCTCGCTGACTGGAGATTACTGACAGTGTGCGTACCCAACGTGTGGGATCACTCGTGCGATGAGTGAAAGTAAGGAGGGGGAACGACCGTCTGGCGGTGGCCGTCGTTTTGGCGAGGGGTGAACGGTGGACGCGACCCGTGAGGGCACCGAACGAGCAAAGAATGGGGGGTGTCGAGCGAGGGAAGTTCAGGGACCGAAGCAATTCGAGAATCAGTATAACTCCATCTCGGGGGGAAGAAATCCTACCGCGAGCCAGAGGCGAGCGGGTAGAATGCAGAGGTTGCATAAAGAAGAAAGGAAAAGAAAGAGAAACAAGAAATCACAAGACAACGCCCCCTTTATATATCCATACCCTATCTCAATGCTGACTCATACCCTCGCGTAACAGAAACAAAAAGAACATAATAGAAACCCACTTCGCTAAACCCAACCACACTGCATAATCATTCTCCCTTGTACCCAGACAACTCACATAGCCAAACCACATGGCTGCCGTTACAGCTGTCCCCACCAACTTTCTATACGGACATTTCTTGTTGATGTTCCATACCAAAATACTTCTGGGAATGGAATATCTGGTTATGATCTCTGTGTAACTCCCAGAAAGATTCTGCCAGTAACATTGTTTCCGTCCCTCTGTCTGCTCTGATATGCAATGGCAAACAATTCTGTGTCTGCATAATCTCCAAGAACTGACTTAATACACTGACCCCCATCTTGCCAGAAACTCTACAGTAGAACCAGGTTACATAACGGGAATATGCATCTATAGCAGCATAGATTTCAATGCCAAACATTTGCAGTTTGAGATGCCCATCAATAGACCAACACCAATTAGGTCCAGGACATATGAAATGCGCATGGTGTCTATTGACCCCCTTTAGTCTGTTTTCCACCCCGATTGGATCAACAATCTTCAAAGCTTGTCCTATCCGATAACTTTCAAAATCAGTTTAGTTTAGTTTGATAAAAGAATATCAAGCTGGTAAAGTCTTCCTGTGAGGCCAAAACACCCATATTCCGTAGGTGCATCCAGACTGATCTCCGGCCGGCTAAAGTGTAAAGAACCATGGGCGAGGTAGAAGCTGAGGGGTCGAGGGACATGGTTAGGTTCCCAGAGGGAAGGGGATGGCCTCGCGTGAGGGCGAAGGATGGGACAGGGGTATACCCGAAGGCCGGGGTGGCGGTCGGGGCAAGGACAGAGGAGAGGGTAGCGACGAGGGTCTGCACGAGGACACAGGCAAAGGTCCGTACGAGGACGGAGATAACGGCGGTCGGCCAGTTAACCGAGAAGGACGCGGCGAGGGGTAGGGAGGCGGCGAAGATCATAACAGCGGAGGCACTGGGCAGGAGGGACAGCAGATGTAACGTGGCCTGAGAGTAAAGTAATGTATTGAAGCGAGGCGCACCCCCAAAGTAATAACTCAAAGTAGAATACAAGATGTTGCGTAAAGAAAGGGAAAGAAAGACAACAGGAGACACAAGCGACTCTTTATAGCAAGGAGATGACAACCGATTATTAATCCCACGGAACCTTCTAGACTTCCTAATAACTCATACGTTTGATATAACAGCACAGTTCGTAACATAAAGTAATATTCCCCCTTTCCAATTCTTGCTCAATTATTTCTTGCAATTTTTGATCGGCATCATCATTTATCTCAGCTTGTGTTAACCTTCTATATATCCCCATAGATTTCCGTATGATACATAATCTCTTGAATTCTATTTGATAACCATGAATTTTTAAAATCTGGTTTTAAATCAGTATTTAAAAGATCTTATTTTAAACTGTTGAGATTGCAATACATACCCGTAGGATTTTTTTATCGCTCAGACACTTAATCCAAAATAGATAGGCAATCTCAACCCACATAGAAGATGTTTCCTGGCTACGGGTGTGTTTTTTAAAATTCCATTCTCCCAGCTTGGTCATAAGGGACCTGCGGGAGCATTTAATACCCATGTCAGTCAAGAATGACAATACTTGATTAATTGTTTGATCTTGTTCAACATAAAGACGTTGGATCAAATCTTGATTTGCTGATAGTGCAGCCGCAACTGGTGATTGACGAAAAGTTGACATTTCGAGTGATAGATGATGACGGTGTGTGTTTTAATGAAAATTATATGAAATTGATGGCAATCAGAATTGGCAGTTTCGGAACAATGAAATACATTAGAAATGGTAAAAATACATCTTATATATATATAAATATGAAATTCTTTGAAATTCTATTGTGTTTTGTATTCACAGGGATATTTTTCAGAAGCCGAACATAACCGACAAACCCCACCTTGTATCCCGTAATTATTTTCAATACCAAATGAAATATCTTCTGATTTTATATCAATTTTAATCTCATCAATCATTCTACGATGTCGCCAGTTGAATATTGTTCAGAAAGAGAAAAGACTATCCATCCGCAGATGACCGACAAAGTTTTCCGTTGTTGTGGAGAACGGGTACCACCACATTTACTTCTACCAGTCTCCCGTAATTCAACAAAAGTCAAAAGGGAACCAATAAAAACTACAGCCGGTGGTTCAGCCTCTGCACCGTCGACAGAAACCAGGCCAAATAGAAGAGATAAAGGGAAGGGTAAAGCCTCACAAAATATTGAAACAATTCTTCTTCTTTCCAGCCTGACAAACTCACCAGAGAGGATTGTCAAAACAGGTCAGTTAACAGCCCGTCAGATTGTGGAACTTTACCGTCAAGGCTCAATTAGTAAAACTTCTACAGAATCGAAAAAACAGAACTCAACATTTGGTTTAGTGCCTGCCCTCACATCACCAGCCCCCGCCAGCAGACAAAGTACTCTAAAAATTACAGCTAGAGATTCCCGCAAGTTAGTCATATACGTTGGCTCTTTAGATGATAAATGGAGTTCATACAAGAATATAGGTAAAACAATTAAGTGTTGAAATGTCTTATTTGATTTATTTTAACCAGTTATATAGGTGTATCATCAAAGATATTTGAGGACTTAGATGAGCTCATTATCGATCACTCTGATTTTGCTTTCAGTCTCTTGAGCTGCTCTCCTAATTGGCAGGATGCTATCACCGCAGAGTAATTAGATATACATCAAGTCCTTGTTGCAACGCATTTCCACCCCAAAGATGGACCCCATAGGTTGGAGGTCAGGAGCAAGCCAATAACAGTTAGAGATTTTCTGATGGATTTTCCTGGAGGGCCGTCTACAAAAATTGTTTTGGTAGTCAAATACCAAACAGAAGAACAACGGGCAATCAGGATCAAAAAAGAGAAGTAGGAAACACAAGAGTTTCTCACTGCTGTACGGGCAAGAAGAGACAGGTTTGATTCACCAGCGGTTATCAACAAGGAGCTTTCTATGAGAGTAGGAGAAAAGGTATATTATTTAATTCTATAGAATGGCAGCCGATTCATACTAATTGTCCTATAGGCATCTTCCCCAGAAGACGAACATTTTACCAGCGATCCCCCATTGCCCTCTACTCCTCCATTAAAAAGAGATTCAATGGCTTTGACTCCTGATCTACCTGAGGAGTCAAATTGTTTACTTAGCTCTCCCCATTTAGAGTCCTCTCCGTCACCAATTGGTAAAGATATTCCTTCAATACTATTTGAAGGGAATGCTATACAAGAGATCAGAAAATCTAATCGGCAGCCAAAGAAGAGGAGGAGATTATATGAGGATAGTGATTAAACATTTTTGTATATAGTTAAAACAATCATTTTATTTCTCTAACTACTAATTGTTATTCTAATCTAAACAATTTCAGGAAATCTTTTAAGATATTCCTTTTTGACGGCTTCATGCATTGTTGAGACCAAACAATGTCTAAAACCGTACCAGTTAGTTGTAAAGTGTTCTAACTTTGTTCCCCTGATAAAACCAATTCCACCAGGCCTACAAACAAACTTCCTATTCATTTCCCTGATACAGAAATCAGCTCCCGTGAACTCACCCATTGGTGCCATTACCGCCCATCCATCTTTTAAATCACCAATATCATAATGAGGTTCAGTAAACAGATTAATCAAACATGCTCTCAAAGAGAAACATTCCTGATCATCAGTTGCCCACTGTTGTTTCTCCTCCTTTGGCAAGGCCGTGGTCATTTTGACACAAATATCTCTGTTATCTTTGTCAACAGCACCAAGCAAAATTCTTTTGGCTCTGGTAAGATTGCCTAGTGAGGTAAAAAGGCGGAGGAGAACCGGATTCATGTGTTGAGATGTTTTGAGAGTATCTTTAGTGATGACAGCGTCATCATTATGACCTCTTTCCATCCATATACCCCAATGGTAAACACCAGCCCGTGACCAATCAACCCAACAAAGATGAGGATTGGCAAGAAGTCAATTCTTGTACTCAGCATGCCTAATATCTTTAACACCGGGAATATCAGGTGGTTGGAGTTCAGCATATTCCTCAATGTTGTAAGTTGTAGACTTCAGAACCCAGTTCCCAATTTCAACTCCATAGACCATCTCAAAACCCTTGCTGAAGTAGACAAACATTCGGGTGTAATTTTTATCAAGGGCAAGATAAAACGCACTGGGAACTGCAGGAACTTCAACTTGCTCATAAGTAAGAGCAACCTTATTGATCTCCTCTAAACTTTTGTTAACAAGAGTGCCAACTTTATTCAAAGGTTGAGAGATATCAACGTCAAAGAATACCTCAATGACACTCCCAATCTTGCCCTTGAAAATCTTAAAAGACCTGGCCCCGTTGGCTTTGGCCTCCTCACAAGTAGCCTTCATACCCTCAGAGAGATACATCCACTTGTTGATATCCCTTTCCAATTCCCGATCACTCTGTACTTTTTTGGGTACAGCAGATTGACTGGCATCTTGACGGGCAGCTTGTCTGGCAAGGAATGGTGTAAACTGTTTGGTTATGATATCAGCCAGGCAGTAGCTTTTGATACAGTCGGCCTTCTTTTGACTTTGAAGGTAGGGAGGAGACTTGAGAGCGCCGGCTTTGGTATGCATCAGGGCGGGATTGGTGAACTTAGGCATTGCTGTAGTCAAATTAGCACTGGCAGCAGTCTTGCCATGCAATAAAAACTCACCTACTAAAGGTAAGGCTAAGTGGTCGGGAACAGGTGCTGGAGTTGACGGCAACAGACTTCCTAACCAGAAGTAAAGCGAAGCTGTGCAATAAACTTCTCTACCAGAGGTTAAGTGAAGTGGTCGTATATGGGTGCTGGTGAAGATCGGAGTGCTGGTGGAAGGGCAGAGTACTTGTGGAAGGGCGGAGTGCTGGTAGAGAGGCGGAGTACTGGTGGAGGGACCTGGTGTCAGCAGCGGACTTCCTTACCAGAAGTAAAGTGAAGCCGTGCAATAAACTTCTCTACCAGAGGTTAGGTGTAGTGGTCGTGTATGGGTGCTGATGGAGGGGCGGAGTGCTGGTGGAGGCACCTGGTGTCAGCAGCGGACTTCCTTACCAGAAGTAAAGTGAAGCCGTGCAATAAACTTCTCTACCAGAGGTTAGGTGAAGTGGTCGTGTATGGGTGCTGATGGAGGGGCGGAGTGCTGGTGGAGGGACCTGGTGTCAGCAGCGGACTTCCTTACCAGAAGTAAAGTGAAGCCGTGCAATAAACTTCTCTACCAGAGGTTAGTTGAAGTGGGCGGTGGTGTTCGTGGTTGGTTGGTACCAGAGGTTAGTTGAAGTGGGCGGTGGTGTTCGTGGTTGGTTGGTGGTTGGTGGTTGGTGGTTGGTGGTTGGTGGTTGGTGGTCGTTCGTGGAGTGTCACGCTGGTTGCCAAAACCCCGAATTCGCTAATTGCACTTTGGTAGTTACGAGCCGCCGTAGGGGACGAACCTCGCGGGTGGCTTCCGAGGGCCGAGATTGCAACAGCCGAGCCGGGTTCCGGGCTCGCTGCGCTGCAGTGGTAAACCCCGTTCAGCTGGTCCGAGCGTGTGCTGCGGGGCTCCGTACCGCAGCGACATCTGCGAGGGACAGTATAGCGAGTCCGACGGGACATGGAAGCCCATCATTCTTCCGGTGTAGGACGCGGCCGAGGCGACCAGTATCGCGGGCGTGGTGCGCGGGCCGAAGATATGGGTCTTTTACCGGAAAAAGGACGGCGTTGTCCGGGGGGGTGGTCTGCGATAGTGGGAGGTGGGATGCGGGGGGGGTTGTGGCTGCCGGCGAGAAAAGGGACGTCGTTGGCGGCGGTGGTGACGGGGGATCAGTGTCCATGGTGTATCTATCCATCCCATGGCGGGGGCTAGCTAACGCGGGCGGGGTTGCAGGCGGCTGTGTGCTTATACCATATGGTTGACGGAAACGTGATTAAGCTGCGTTGTTACAACTGGAAACGAAACGAGCGGTATGCCGGAGGTCTGCATGGCCCCATTCTTGCCGCGAGTCTAAGGACGCAGCTCGGTACGATAAATATGTCGGACCATGGGTGTTCAGAGGGAGTATTATCAATCTGCAGATGCAGGGTGGGAGGACAAAGCTCGCGAGTATGGCAATGTGTATCAAGGGGGGCTAGACCAATATCAATGACGTGACAGCCGGTAATGAGCATTTGTTGCTGCACCTTACATGTGTGTATATATATATATATACAGACAAGTAAAGAAAACGAATTGAAAGTAATCCTCACGGCATGGCACAGGTGTCCAGAGATTTGATGACCTACCGTGATGTACTAGCGCGATACTACGGTGATATCCTACAATGATATAGTACGACGATACACTACCTCCCTCCCCCGGGTATGAGAGTTTGATATATAGATGATGGATGAAACGAAGAAAGGGTTTGAATTTTGTTAGGCGGGACCAGGGTTGTTAACCATATAAATTCGTCAAAATCCTCACCAGCCATCACTCGATCTGCTCATATTGCTCTTCCTAAAACGGGCTAATCAGCCCTGTTATGGACCTTATGGCGACGTAGGGTGGTAATACACTCAAAGCTAGATAACGTGTTATTAATTTGTAAACACAGCCGGAGATAATGAAAACATCATCAGTAACGGTAGTTATGAGTCGCTCGATCTATCCAGTTTCCTGAGTATTCAATTCGCGAGTAGGTCGGGGTCACGTCACAATCTCCTGGCGCAACTTGTAGACACTCCTACTCGCTTCAGCATCCATCGCTCCCAGCCTTGCAAAATGGACCTGGCTCACCAAGTGCGAAGCTAAACCTATATAAGCAGCTTCTGCGGTTTCACATGCGACCCCTCCGAGTAGCACGGACCAGCTCGCGGTTTTTATTTGCATGCAGGTGAGATTCCTTAATACGACTGCAGTTGTCGATCTGTCGATCTCAACCCCTGATTGTCTCTATGCAGCACGACACCGCTACGCCTCACGAGACCTTGGTACCACCCATCTCCATCTTTTTTTCCCCGCATTCAGCTACTGTGGAATCTTTCATCCACACACACTCAAAGGTTGGGGGTTGTATGCATAAGCTAGCCACTATGAGGAAAGAACATGGAGTAGCCGAGCCTGGAAGGGCCGATAAACTGCAGGGACCCATTCTTCTCTCAGCTCCTCAGCTCACTAAACCCAGGGTTACATAGAAAAGATCCTGGTCGATTCCCATCTTCCATCTTTGGAGGGACTATGGATAAAAAACCCAATAATTATTTACATTAGTCAATCCCTTCAAGATAGGTCGATAGGAAGTATCCTCTGGCTCAAAGTCCATATTTGAAGACCGGGTAGAGACAGAGATCTGACAGAAGGTGTTGTATCGCGAATGTGAGGCTTCAGGTTCAAATCCAACTTCATCAAATGCCGTCGCTGTCACACTCCGGACGAAACACATTATATGTGATTATCATCCGTGATTATGTTGTGGTACCCGAAATGTCAAATTTAGGACTATGGAGTACCAGGCGCGAGGACATGCATTTGGGCGCCCGGGTCATTTTATCAATTGGATTTGATTCCTTGAGGGGCCACAAAACTAATCCTTCAGACCTCAGCCCGGAGGGACAACCAGGACTTTGAAATTGTATTTCCAATAATTTGCAAGATAAACGTTTCTGTATCCTTTAATGGTCAATGATTGATATGCCAATTGACTGCAAAGCTGACTCCCGGGCGCGCAATAGTCCCCTCACGCGTAGAAATGTATCACGTATGCTTGCGCCGTGCCCTGTACAAGGAAAAAGACTTTGAAAGTGACATCATCAAGATTGATTCAACGCACATGCGCATATGCAGTCCATACTGCAATGGGATCACAGTAGAGGCTTTTGGCTGATTTTTGTTTTCCATTGTGTGAAGGGAAGTTCTTGCAGCCAAGATTTTAGCTGTCCCAAGCGCATTGAACTATTAACAAACAGAGCGTCTTGCAGGTACTGACAGAGAAATACTGAAGAACGTAATATTTGACATTGAGTTTTCTCTCAGAAAGTGACACGTCAGCTGCAGAGGCAGGCGCAGCTTTAGCTGAAAGTGAGACTTCAGCTCACCTGAAGACTTAGCTAGGCTTGTGTACGAGTTCTTATGATTATGTTGTAAGTCTTGTAGATCGAACATGAGTTTTTTGTGTTAATTTAATTCCATGCGATGTATCAAATGCCTATCTGAGAAACTGAAGGCGCCAACACCTTATCCCTCCCCGTGTCCTCAACTGATTCACAAATTATAGCCAAGAATACCCTTCTGAGCCGACAATGAGAAGTGGTTTTACGCCCGTGCTTGCGATCGCCGTGGTTGCCGGCTGGGAAACCTGGTGGTAATCATCGCTCATTGGCGCGTTACAGCCGGTGGTATGTATACTTATCCACCTTTACATACAAGTACCCACTGGCATTCCGGTTAAGCATTCCAACACTTATCTTCACAGATCTAGTTTAATCAAAAGTGAGAAATGACTTTAAATCTCGCTTTCCAGACTCTGTAGCAGGTAGCAAAGACAAACTATTCGTACTAATGAAATAATAAAACCTCCGCACCAGGAAAGGGAAGGCATCACGTCACAATCAACAACCAACATTCTGACATAAAACATTTCCTGTGACAGGATAGCATGACATCCATCACTCATTCCTCGCGCATATAGTCAAAGTTCCACCTCTGAGATTCCGACCCGGGGTCATTCGGGACACCTGCGATGTTTTGATATATCTTTGGTAAAGGCACGTTTCCACCAACGGCGGCCGAGAGCCAAGGCCTAGCAACGCTCTGAACACGGGCGAGCATGATTGGAGGAAGTCTTGTGTCGTTAGTCGCCGGTTGTATTAGGGCACACAAACTCGGTATTGAGAGGTAGTACAAACCGTTTCAGCATAATCGCTTCCTCAAAGGTCCATAACTGGGACGTCTTTGGCCTCGGCATCTCCGGAGATTCTAGCATAATATTGTTCTCGTTTTCCCCCTGGTTGGTATCCAGGGTCAAACACCGTTCTTCTTCTGAGCCCTTGCCCGTCATGAGGATCATGAAAAGTGGGGGACTGTCGTCAGTGATGTTATAGGCCTTGACGTGCCACTTAGTTTCTGCGCCCAGTCCAACTACAGCGTGATTGTTCTGTTCGGTGAGGAAGTTATTTTCGCCGAGAGAGGCACGAGCAGTTCCTTCTTCGATTTGGGCGGACATGATGAATGAGGATATCTTTGAAGAGGTTGGAATTTGAGTGTGGTGTTGTGGGATGTTTTGAGCTTTCGGAGCTAGAGCATCCAGGGGATATTTATACTATTTTACTCCTGCCGTGTGTTTCGTCCTACTCGGACGGTCTTCGATCAGTAGGTGATACAAAATTGCGGTAGAAATTTGTAAAAAAATCTCAATGTTACAAAAATGCACATATTAGCACTTGCATGCATCAACGTGCACCCCCAGTTCCAGCTAGACCTCCTTGTCGATTCGATTAGCTGAAACCGAATTGCACAGACCTGCTGAACGAGGAGATAGAACTCAAAAGACGTAACAAGCCCACAATATTATGTGGTAGCCAAGACCAGTCGTGCTTACAATCGATCATTACAGGGCGGCAATGCAGACATTTACTTCATCGCTGCAGGGATTTACATTAAGTGGTGGGTAGAGATGACTACCACAGCAGATATATAGCTATATTGCAATATATATCCAAATGGGCGTGTGCAAGTACTTACCATATACGTTTAGTATCTTCCGTTCTCGGTGCAACTCCAACAACGGCTTACACAATTTTCACCATCCTCTCGATTATCTCGACACTGCAGATCCATGTATCACTTTCAAAACTATTCCGACCACCTAGCGACCTATTTTACACGATAACAATATTTCTTATTCATGTTCACTTGATGTGCCAAATTCATGCAGCACAAGTAAAAAGCAAAGTCAATTCCATCTTTTTCTTTTGCCAGGCTGACCGCTGTTTTTGTTGAATTAAAAGTGTTTCTTTCTCTTTTGAAATACTGTCACGAGCACTGTGTTTGGGACAAGACCTCATCTTGACCCTCTACCTGGGGTGAGAGAGGTGCCCCTGGCACTGATGCATGCAATGCTGAACAAGGAATAAAACCCTGAAAAATCAATGATCAGGCGCAAACTGCGCTATGAGTATTTCTTTCTTTTTCCTTTTTCAAACACAATTACTGAACAACCTATCGATTCCTTACCTGATGTGTCCAGAAGGAGAAAACGCCTGGTCATGCGCCATGAATATCAGATACCGATAGCTTTCCCCAGTCCTGACTCCGGACAAAGGAACGATAGGACACTGGAACTGACATTTACAAATGACTCGAAAGTTGAAGACAACTTGAGGTCGCTGACAACTTGCTGAACTCCAACCACGGTTCTCGTGACAGAACTTGCTTGTTAGAGCGCTCTGAGCAATCGATATTTCTCACACTTATGTAGATCATTTGAAAATATAAGCAGGCCTCGACATGCTTACATATTTGTTGTTCTCTCGTACGTACTCAGACACGTGATCGATATCTTACATTCATATAAGTACCGTTGTGTGTCCTTGTCTAACTTCTTTTAGGGATAAGCGGCTTGTGCTCGCGTGCTTGGCTGCTCTTCACCCAGAGAGTAGTTAGTGGTCGATCTGGTAGAATGGTGACTTCAGCTAAATTCTTATTCCGCAGAACCACCAACTACAGGTTAAGGTTAAAGTTGAAGTTCTTGTGTTTGCAACGGTCAGGTCCAGCGCGTTTATATCTATAGCTATCCTGGCAGCGGCCTCAGATTAGATGGACTATATGATTCTGGTTCGTCTGATAGCTGACTTGCCAGGACTGAAGACAAAGCGGCGGACTATATATATCTATGGGGTCATCGGATATCACTCGGCTTTGTGAAAGAAAAAAAGAGAAAAAAAGGTGTGGGAGAATACATGGGCCTACATGCAGAGTTTGTGAATGATAAGGGTGTTACACACTGCACACTAATTATATATTAATACACCTATATATGCTTAGAATTGGCCATATGAGAGGTAATACGCAGTGATAGGCACGAGACCAGACGGGACTTAAATGATGGTGCTCTGGTTTGGATTGCCAATCTTGAGACATGTGCCTAGTATTGCTTGGGATCTCATATTCTCGTCGAGCTGTGGTTATGCGCGCGGCAAAGGTCATGAAATGAGCAAATGATAAATATCACCAGGGTTAGGGTTCTTTGGATTTACTCTCGAGCTATTTGAACGAATTTTTATGCCCTGCGGATCAAATAGCTGTCTTTCCGGTCTTGCCTCCCTGCTGCCCTGGCAGGTATTATATGTTCCTGGGATTGAGTCTCAAGACCACCATCAATTGAGTTTTATTTCGTCTTGTGCCCATCACTACCAATAAGGTCTTTCTTAATTGTTAGGGTTACAGCTAGGCAAAGACTAGGGGAGCTCCTCAGGTGCGGAACCTAAGAACAACTCTATGGCTGAAAAAAAGAGATTTTTGCAGGTAGGGGCGGGCGTTTACCCATCGCCAAGCCGCGTTCTTATATCGACCCTGCATCGCTCTATCACCGCTCCCCCAGTAGATAACAGTCCTCAAATCATTCATCACAGTACGGGTTGAGTAGCGAATTTCAATCGATAAACAAGCCCCACGTCATTAATAGGAATCCGAAGTGCAAGGCGGTGGAAGCAGATGGGAAGTTCAGGGGCAGTACGATATTGCCATAGACTACGGTCTGCATACAATTAATGAATTAAACAACCATAATAGGAATCCGAGTGAGATCGGGTGATGCGGAAAGCGTAACACATAGACTGTTGAATGGTACGATAGCTGAAGGACAAGCAAAGATTCAGCCGACTAAATGGGTATCAACATCTAACACTATCTCGTATGCAATTGGCGTATCCCCAGGTGAGCGTCGCATGTACCACCTGAGGAGTACCTCATATCATCCCCAAAGTATTGATAAGCTGGCGATTCCCGATATAAAACGAACTATATATTTGTACTAATGGAATAATAAAACCTCCGCACCAGGAAATAAAAACGTATCTCGCCACAATCAATAATCAACATTCTGTCATGAACCATTCCTATAACAGGATAACATAACATCCATCACTCTTAATCAACGAGCATGTAGTCAAGCTTCCACTTCTGGCCTTGCGACCCGGGGTCATTCGGGACACCTGCGATGTTTTGGTAAAGCCTTGGTAAAGCCACGTTTCCACCGATGGCGGCCGAGAGCCAAGGCCTAGCACAGCTCTGAATACGGGCGTGCATAATTGGAGGCAATCTGGTATCGTTAGTCACCAGTTGTATTAAGAAACTCGGCATTGAGAGGCAGTACAAACCGTTCCATTATAGCTGCATCCTCAAAGGTCCATAACTGAGACGTCTTTGGCCTCGGCGTCTCCAGCGGTTCTACCATAATGTTGTTCTCATTCTCCCCAGCGTCGGTATCTAGGGTCAAACAACGTTCTTCGGAGCCTTCGCTGCCCATGAGGATTATAAAAAGTGGGGGACTGTCTTCAGTGATTTTATAGGCCTTGATGCGCCACTGAGTCTCTGCGCCCAGCCCAATTACACCGTGACAGTTATGATCGGTGAGGAAGTTATTCTCGCCGAGAGAAACGCGGGCAGTTCCTTCCTCTTGGACGGACATGGTGAGTGATATCTGTGGAGAAGTTGGGATTTGAGTGTGGTATTGTGGGATGTGTTGAGTTTTCGAAGCTAGAGCATCCACGGGATATATATGATATTCTGCTCCTGCTGTGTGTTTCGTCCTACTCGGACGGTCTTCGATCAGTAGCTGATATAAAATTGCGGCGTAGAAATTAGCACTTGCATGCATCAACGACGTGCACCCCCAGTTCCAGTTAGACTTCGTTGTCGGTTCGATTAGCTGAAATCAAAGTGCACAGACCTGCTGCACGAAAACATACTGTACTGTACAGTTATTCGGATGTAGACAGGTAAATTATCTGCTCTCGCCGGTTGACCGGGGGTGAAACAGGGTAATATGGGCCTCTTTGAAGATTTCCAATTCATCTATCCTCAGAGGAATGTAAGCTGATACCGCCGGCTCAAGCTCCCCAATTTGGTTAGAAACAGAGATAAATTTCTCCTCTATCCTCACGAGATGGCTCCTCTGATAGGTGCTGTATCTCGAATTATCCCTTCCACAGATGAAAGTTGTAGCCTTGTGTAACTGTTGCTAGTTTTTCATTGGCTCTGCTGCTGTTATCAATTGTAAAAAGCAAGACAATTCCCCTACTAAGTGGTGCACGGTCCAAGTCGCTAATTTGACAAGCTTCATCCGTGGGGGGAGTAATGTAGTGGATAGGCTGTGTATAAGCATCTATATGCATGCAGGGTCAATCCGTGCTACATGCCTATTTTTATTCTTCGACACATTAGATATTACCTCTATCAGACGGTAACATACTACCTGTGGTAATTGATCCCTCCTGGCACACTGTTCTTTTGCAGCCATTTCCAGTAGAGGGTGAAAAGTGCTCGATATCGGGATAGACCAATCCCTGGGCGTTACCTCTAAAGACAGGTAAACTATCTTTCACAAATTGTACTGTAGTCTGCAGGTGATAGGACTCAAAATAATGTAACACGCCCACAACATCGTGCGGCAGCCAAGCTCAGCCGTGTTTAAAACCATTCCAGGGCGGCAGTGCAGTTCATATCAGAGCATTTGCTTTGTCGCCGCAAGCATTTACATCAAATATGGTTGGGGGCGCCTTGAACCGGAGTGTCGCGACATTGGTTCCTGAGGATCAGTTTCCCAATCGAGTAATAGTTCATCATTCACCGCCAAGAGAAGCCTCTTGGCGCTAATGGAGAACCTTCCACCCAATCCAGAGACAAACTTTCCTAATCGGAAAGTATAGCTACCCCCAATAGGTAACTATAGCGCGACATTGGGTTCCCCGTCAAAAACCGAACTTTTAGAAAATCAATAGCTCAACCATAACAAAAGACTAAATTTGAAGAGAAGAAGTAGAATTATCGAAGAACAGAGAGAAAAATAGATTAGAGTGTGGTTGAGGAAAGTCATTAGCGGTTGAAGTTGACCCCGGAAACCACACAGGTTCAAGGTGTCCCCAGCCATAGCCGGGCAGATGACTACGGGTTGAGCAGCGCATTTACCAGTGAGCGGCGAATTTAAATCGATAAACAAGGGCCACATGGTTAATAAGAATATGAGTAAGATCGGGTAATGTGAAAAGCGTAACACATAGACTGTAGAATGGTATGATAGGTAAAGAACAAGCGAAGATTCGGCCAGCTAAATAGGTATAAACATCTTACCTCATCCCGTATTCAGCCGGCGTATCCCCAGGTAAGCGTCGCATGTACTACCTGAGGAGTGTCTCATATTTTTGATAAGCTGACGATTTTTAATTGATCGTGCAACTGTACCATATGTGGCGGCAGGGTAAGCACTCGAATATGTGATTCCCGAGCAGTCCACATCCTCTTGTCATGCACGGCCAAACCAAAAGCCTACGTAAATAGTTAGCACTCCCGACGTAATGCTGCTGGTACCGACCACATCACGTGCCATACCGCCTTCATTCTCACGAGCCCCATGTCCTCATACTATTAGCCGTCTTTCGGACAGCCACGAAGGTAATCTCAACCTGAGATTGGTTTAAACACAGCAAAATAGATACCCAATTCGGTTGTGTTGGTTAGCTGCGACTACTCGTTGTAATCGGAATTTCCTCCTAGATCTACACATTCCGCAGGTCTTTCAAAGCGTAGATTCTTAGTCGTAGTTCGCCTCTCTTAATCATCAATATGTTCCCCTTTTCTATGTATCTGATTATTTTAATTGCCTTTGGTTCCATACCACCATAAGTAAGATTGCCCCGATACATTGTCGATCAGAACATATGCAATAATTCCTTTCCCGTAGCACTTCTATGATATTCCACTATCAATATGTTAATATCGGTATTTGATTCATTGACCGATTGGGTTTTTACACCGAAAATAAAGGCTTGTATGACTTCTTTTGTCATTCCATTCATGGATCACCAGCAAATTAATAGTCCAGTTTGATCATCGACAATCTTTTAAAAACCAATCAATTCACAAAGCGATCAGGATACAGCAGAATGCGCAGTGCTTAGAGAATAATTTCAAAATAAACATAGGTAGAACTCCTCCATACCAAAACGAGAAGTTCGAAATACAGCGCATAAATATTCCCCGGAAGCACCCGACTGCTATGGAAGAATCGCTGTCCCTATAGACTACACTACGGGTACTAGCTTTCTCAATGCTGGGTCACTATTGACGTGGAATATATAACCTTTGATCTTTTCTTTCGATTCCGGATGTATGAGGTCCTGCTCCTTGAGCCAAGCGACATCGTCCCTGACCGATTGCTCCAACCTAGTGGGCGTTAGAATTTGATGAAAGCTTCAACACCTCGAACCGGAAGGATGCTATAACATACTCTTCGAATCCCATAAAGTCAATATGATCAGCGGATACACCGAGATTATTTTTGATTTTAGCATGTGCGTTCTCGTTTGTGAGTCCCATCATACCACATTCTACCCACGGTAACAGAGTTAGCAAGGTTCAAGACTTTCCATACAATCTCGCCGGGAGACAAGGTGATTGCTTACCCGTATGCTTGACCACCATAATCACTTTAGTATCCAAAAACTGCTGCGAGATGATTATGCTCCTCAGCGCCTCTCTTGCGCTTCCCCCGGCGTTACGGATCACGTGTGCGTCGCCGAGCTCAACGTCAAATGCATCGCGTGGATGGATCCAGGCGTCCATGCATGTTACTATATGTTTAGGGTTGAAGGTGTCGTTAGTATTTCAATGGCGAGGCGCTAAGCGTGGATGTTAGATATACGGACCTATGGCAAGACTCTTCTTTGGGATGGGGCAGTGGAGGTCTTCTTCGATAGCCTTTCTGCTAAACGGAGATTCGGACTCCATATTCGGGCTGACTTTGGTTTGCCCGAGGAAGGGATGTCTTGTAAGATGTTTCGAAGTGGGGCAAGGGGTGTTCTCCGGGGAGGATCTGTGGAGGGATAGAGGTGTGGAATGAGGTTTATATTGGGTATTCCTTTTATAGTATGATAACTGTCGGGAGTCTACCGTTACATATGATGTCGGTTCCGTAAAAGATTTTTCAATGATGTGCTGGGTGTTTCTGGTCCTGAAATCCCAATTCTCTGGATCGGGTCAAATGCTTCAAATCAGGTATCCATGCGCAAATCATTCTCGCACCTCCTCCAGCTTCAGCGTGAAAGGAATCGAAGGGTTTGCTGTGATCTCAACTTTGAAATAAACGAGGACGTGTGGTTGTCTAAGGCCGGCGTTCGTTGGTCACTAGTGCGCAGTACGTAGGCTTCGGGTATTGTGATTCGGGCTCCTCCTTCATGCGCATGAGCAGGTTATTACGGCAGGTGATCACGCACCCCGCAATTCGGCTGCGCGTGCAGTTCAATCAAGCTAGGCTTGAGAAACCTATGACAGCGGCAACTCGAGGAAGACTACCAAATACCCACCGGCGCCGCATAGCACGCCGGGATCGATTGCCTCCGTAACACCGTTGTTTACGGTTGGGTAATTGCTATCACGCAATCTCATTATCTAAATCAATGTAGTACCCGGTAGAAACGTTGCTGGCTGTTTTCGTATTCTCTAGAGTCTTGTTCCAACTGATCACAAAATGACGATCAATCAAACTCGACGTAGACTAAAGACAAGAAAGACGATGTATTGGTCACGATGAACTACGGATATAGGAAGACTAATCTGGTGTGTAGCTTCTCTCTTACGTTGCTTCTTGTCGACACCTTTTCCTTACATTAGCGTCAGAACGGGTATTTCTATAAGCCTATAAACAGGCCTATTTGAGCCTATAAAAAACATTAATCGAGATTAAGGTTTAGCCGTTCAGTCAGGCCCTTGCAAACCTATCATTTTCGTAAACCTTGTTAAGACCAAGGCTTATGAGATCTGATAAGGCTTAATTTGACATTATATACATCGATGGCCGCTAGCCTTCCCCCCCCCCCCCCCCTTCCCCGCCTACCTACCTACATACCTACCTACCTATCTATCTACCTATCTACCTATCTACCTACCTATCTATCTACCTATGTACCTATCTACCTACCTATCTACCTACATAACTACCTGTCTGCCTATGCCTGCCTATGCCTACCTACGCCTACCTCCCTGCCCATTAACTTCAATTGGTTGAATTTGATGCTCGATTTGATGCGCTAGATTCGCTGCTGGTGCTGCTGCTGGTGCTGGTGCTAGATTTACTGATGCTGTTGGACTCGCTGCTGTTGCTGGATTTGATGTTGTTGCTAGATTTGATGTTGTTGCTAGATTTGATGCTGCTGCTAGATTTGATGCTGCTGCTAGATTCGATGCTGCTGCTGGATTCGATGCTGCTGCTGTTCAATTCGTTGATTACCACCCACTTTGATGATAACGGTGATGGTGATTGTGGGGTGAGAAAGGGGGGGGGGAGGGTAGATGATACGGAGGTGGTGGAGGTGGTGGAGGTGATGGAGGTGATGGAAGTGGTGGAAGTGGTGGAGGTGGTGGAGGTGGTAGAGGTGGCAGAGGTGATGGAGGTGGTAGAGGTGATGGAGATGGACCGGCGCAGATGGCTTGATATTTGCTAAGTGCCTAACCCTAACCCACGAAACCTTCATTTTGCGCCCCCCAGGTCACACTAGATCTTATGAATTTGCACAATCCTTAGTGGATCGGTAATATCAATTTTGCAAATAGTATTAGATAAGCCTTGTTCGTAAATAATCGCGGCCGACGGTCACACTTATGCCCAAAACAGGCCAAATTTAGGCTTATTTGAGATATAAGGTCAAAATAAGACTTTCCGTCTGCCTCCCAGGCTTATAGAAATATACGTTCCGGCGTTAAAGTATCCACTTATTCAGCAACATGTTAAGCCTTATCATACGCCACATGCTACAACGTGCGATAGGGTTTCAAGCCAAACGAGAGAGTAAACATTTCGGGGCTCTTAGGGGGATGACGAACATTATAATTTCTAGATATTAAAGCGCATTGTAACGCGACTTGCAGCTCGGTGGATACCTTAACGTCGAAACGCATAGAATTTTAAGCCTTATTACGTACAGAGAGACTTAATTAAGCATTAGGTATGCCTTATTTACCAAAAGAGGCTAAATTAAGCGTTTTATTTGTATTAGTAATATTAGCTGCTATGGCTTTTCCCAAAATAAGGTCAATTTGATGCTTTTTAATTCGGTAAAGCTGTGCTTTGGTTTAGGGTTGCCAAAAATTCTAACCCTAACCCGTCAATAAGGTTTAAAGTCTCAATTACGCCTTATTCTCGATGCATCTTATTCAGGAATAAGCAATATACGTAGATTGATGCTTATTTGATGCTTATTTGATGCTGATACCGACGGTAAATGCTCAAATAGTAGTACGCCTAAGCACCGTATACGCCATACCGACGGTAAATGCTCAAATAGCAGTACGTCTGAGCACCGTATACGCCATACCGAGGGTAAATGCTCAAATACTGGTGCGCTTGAGCACAGAATTAGCAATATCAGTGGTAACTGCCTATTTGATGCTCATCTGATGCTGATACTGACGATTAGGCTTATATATAGAGCTCAACGAGCAACTCTGGCTTGCTTGGCACAGGCCAAATTACACCTCCAGCGACACCCCACCTTCCATCCCACCCACCTCTACCTTCATCTCCATCTCTATCTCTATCTCGATACACCTCCAGATTACTAGTACCGGCCAATCGATCGTCAACATGCTGCTCAAAAGACTCCTGCTGGTACGTAATTTGGTGTCCTCCGTCTAGCCTGAGCACGTAATTCTGCTGCACCTTTGCTTACTTTGCTCAGGGCGAGATTTAGGCACGGAATCGAGCACGGAATAGAGCACGGAATAGAGCACGGAATAGAGCACGGAATAGAGCACGGAATAGAGCACGGAATAGAGCACGGAATAGAGCATGGAATAGAGAGCGGAATCTATCTTTTGATGCCCAATTGATGCAGCAGATGACTACATATACATACTCAGGCTAGCACCCTCTATTCCTAGGCAGGTTGACGCTTTAGCTGATGTACTAGCACTAGATACCGCCTCCTCCGAGCCTAGCACGCCACCACTAGCAATATACTGTCGATACCGTACTCGAGGTTACAGGAAGTGTGTAATCTACGGACCACACAGAAGAGGATGTGGAGGTGGAGGACACGAAGGAGCTAGAAGCAAGGAAACCGTAGCTACACGGGGTATTATACATGTATATATATAGATAGATAGATTAATTAATAAGATATAATATACCAAATCAAAAGTAAACAGTGCTATTGCTTATTCGTACTACTAGTAGATAAAGCTCAAAAAAGTAATAATCATATTTAGGCTATCAGTCTTATCCAAAAATCAACATTTAATAGGCAAAAATTCGGTGTAAGCCTTATTCCTGAATAGGCCTTATTTCATACTTATTTACGCCTTATTCCGGGATCAGCCTTTCAAAGAATTAATGGTTAAAAAATCATTACTTCGGGATATGACTCATTGATATTACTAATCAATATCCAGCACTATGGATTTTCCAAAACGTAGTCTCACAATACAATTAAACGAGAATAAGACCAAAACACGGGAAAACGCTCAAATATTGCTTATAAAAGCATCAAATAAGCATTATAAAAGGCTCAAAATTGTATGCGTTTCGACGCTAAGGTAACCAATCATGTAAATATTAGGAGAGGGTGAGGTAATTCTTAGGATACCTAACGCTGCCAGCTATCCCTATTATCGAAGTACAGACCTAACTAATTATGTCTTAATACTATACCTCATCTAAAGAACAAAACCCGACAAGAGAAATAAGATTAACCGCGATCGATCAGAAATTAGGCGAGCGACGCGTAGGTAACAGTGCAGATCGCTTGTGTTTTGGTTAGCGGGAGTGTAGTAATCGCACAGCTGAGTCCCGGGGCTGCTGGCGCCACAGGGCATGAATGGCGCCACACCGATAATAGATCACCAGATTGCCGCACCTTACATCTATCCAGTTCTCGCTTACAGTCTTTTATCGATGGTTGAAAGATGGGAATCGAGGCAAAACGACCAGGATATTTGCCTAACCTGGATTGTAGTGGGTTGAGGAAATATGATGTGCCTAATTTCTCAGAATTACGCTGAGAGAAGAGTGAGCCCCGTCAGTTAATTAGCCCTTCCACATTGATCTACTCCATATTCTTTCCTTGTGCATACAACTCCCGGGTTTGCCTCGATACCCATTTCAGCCTTCGAGTGATCATCAGTAGAGAGGTTTCGCACCAAATATTTTAAATTTGGGTTGGGTTGCCAGATGCAGGAAGGAAGTGTGGTAAGAGCCAGATTTCTTTGATGTGATAGGTGTATTGGCGACCGGTGGAGACTTTTTAAACTAAAGATTGGGGGTTGGCAGTTACAGAAGCCTTGTCCGAAGTCTGTATGTTTGGTTAACGGCGGATTTTAGCTTGGTGTTTGCTGAATGAGGAAGATTTCTGGTTTCTCTTCTCCACTACGGTGTCCTTCCTCCAGGCACTTACAGTGCGGTATCCGAATTTAAAATATTCGCTGCGAAACCTCTCTAGTGCGATAAGCGATTCTAATGTTACACGACAAGCTCCGCTTTTGAGGTGCGGCCCGGCCCGCGCCCTTGTCGAGCCCTGCAGCTTGGCACGTGCAACGCCCCCGGCTTACGGAATGTGGGGTAAGGCACGGGGCGCGGCAGACCTCACCGATCGAGGCGACACGAGCGACCGGTCCAAGGGTGTGTTCTGAAACGAAACAGTCCAGCCACCCGCCACCGCAGTGTCGCGCCGATAGGCCTCCCGGGATTGCTAATCAATTACCTATTCTGGTCCTATCTGCTATAAGTGAGTACATAACGGGTCAAAGCCATCCGCGGCGAAAAAAACCCATTGAGATGGGTACTACCAGCATGTAGCCCGCATTGTAGCTGACATCTCACCTCACCAGGGCTACCATCACATTCCGACCTGTTGGCCACACATGTACACACATTTATAGCTCGCATCATTTGTATCCATCATATATTCAACCAGCTCCTTACTAACTACGTACTGAGAATCTTCCATGATGAGCACATCATAATTCCCAAAGAAATCCAAGGATGCGCAATGTTCTGCATGAAGGACCGCGTGCCTTCGCCCCCACACTCCCATATATCTAGTAAGGACAACCGCCGCTCCCCGCGACAACAGTATGGCACTGCTTCGGTGTCTGCCTGAATCTTTCTGCAATCTTCCGTTTGACATAATCCTGGCTCTCCTCCGCCATGACCCTCACCTGTCCGTCCTCCGTCATCTCCACAGGCTTCCAGTCCTGGGGAATTGCAGTGGCATAGGGCAGAGTCATCAAAAACTCTGACAGGGGGCTGGCGGTGGGACTTTTGCTGCCTGGATAGGGGCGAAAGATGCGGCGGCGCGATTCGGCCAGGTGCATATAGTCCTCGACACCAGCGGGCGTACGGAGCCGTTCGATGACCTTTTCCATGTAAGCTACGATGCGCGAGGCAAATTCAGTGTCGGAGAGGGTGAGGTTGTGAAGGAACTCGAACTCGGGGGAGCATGGGTCTTCAGCGGCGGAGCTGGCGGCGATGGAGGCACGAAAGGAGTCGCCAAGGGTATAGGCGCCGGCATTATTAACGGTAGAGGTTGCAGGGACGTATTTGAGGAGCTTTGCGCGGCGATGGGAGTAGACGGGATTGCTGTCCATGTGAGATGTATATATCTGGTAAGGGAAGGGGGGAAGGGTGGGGGATGTGGTGTGACGACTTACGGGAAGTCGATCATGAGCAAGGACAAGAGCTCATGTACACTTAGTAGTCTTCTCATCCTGATCATGTTGACTCCCTGCCGGTCCTCCAGACTCGGAACTATCACGCACCACGGTGTCTGTCCCAATCAATGATTCGTCAAACGAAGTTCACCGTGTAAATTCACATACCTGGCCCTCATGGTCAAATGCTACCCTCATGGGATCCCATTGATAAATTGTCTTCAAGCCAAGCTTGATCCTGGACTCATTATAGTACACCGAGTTGACATTACCTGCCCTTGGAATCTGTGTCGCGTTCCCCTTGTCTCAGCAATTGAAACACCTGAAGATGGGAGAGAATTGCTCACCTCGATGTGTTCCGGTAAGAGGTCCTCAATAACGCTCTCGTTGAAGAAGAAGCCATGCGGGATGCGTGTGTTCCCCTGTTCGGTGATGATTATATCCGAGTTGGCGGGCGACCCTGCAATGTTCACGGTGGTGGTGGTGAGTACATGACGCATCCACGAAATTACGTTGTTGGCAGTTGGATAGGGAGATATCCGCGGTCCAAGATCCTTATCGACACGAGAAGTGTACCTGGGCAATTTGTTCAGCTCACAGAAGGACACACATGCTGGAGAGCTGAGGCTCGTTACCATTGAAAGGCTGCATTCCTCACTATTCGCTCGAACCGATCGCCGTTGGCGATGTATGACAGTTTCCCACGACTGCCAGCTGGTTGAAGCAGTTTATCACTGAGAAGGGGATTAGTCGGCGAGAGCGTCGAGTTGATCCGGTGCCTGGTGCTGTGCCAGTGCATCCACGGGAGACTGAGCTCCTTCATCACCAGTGCTCCGTTGACATGGCCGCAGAAGGGACCTCGCCCCTCGGTATCTGGAGAAAACGCATCAAATGACGAACCAAGATAGTGCCATACCGCTGGGCTGTGGTCCTTCTTATCCGTATCTTTCTTTGATGCCGTTTGGCTGGAGCCGTAACCAGTGGTGTTCCTCACACGCTGCCAGCAAACGTTAGCACTTGAGCCGCTACGACTACCGGTACACCACAAACCTCATAAAAGTTCAAACGGCGCTTGGTTGCATCCCAACTTGCAACCTGCAGGAAACGGTTTCGGTTGCCAAACTCGGAGCTTGCAACAACGCAAACTGTCGGGCCGTTAAACGCCCGTTGTACGATGTTCTCAACATTTCCAACCAGCGCATCGGAGTTCGGCGGGTCAGAGGTATTCTCGGGAGTGCTGACAATGGCAAATCGTAGGTCCCAGGGGATGTGTTTGTTTTCCTCGGAGAATTGTAGGTACATTCCGTCACCAAGAGCAAACGGTACCCATGTATTGCGCGGCAAGACCTTTGTAAGGAGGTCTCGCAGCGTGGCAGGATGGGCTGCTTGTGCGTTCTTGCTGAGCCATTGACCAAACCAGTCGGTGAGCACCTCGGAAACGGGGATGGTGGGCTTGGTGTCCCGCCCATCGATTTTGGAGTATATTGTGTGGCTTGTCATGACGAGGCAGCGTGGATGTATCACCGTGTATGAGTTGTCGATATTTTTCCAAACTGTGCGTTGGTGATGGGCTGTGGTCTGCACTTTATCTGTGAGCAGGCTGATATCTATCCCCAGCACGCAGCTTGAGTGTGAATAAGCCAGTGCTCTGCTCGATATCCTGCTCTAACCTTCCTTTCCGCGTTTAGACGAGGCTTCTCGTGGGCACACTTCCAAGCTACTGTTGGAATGTTGTTCTACTGCTACTGCATAGTGCCCGTGCTGTTCAGATGCTACCTACCCCACAATCATGTGGGGAATTCCTTGCTGGGCTGTCCGGTTTTAAGTTTGACAAGGCCGAGGACAGGCATGAACAGGTGTATGAAGGACGCTGGTTGCGCGGGAGAGTCCTGTCAGGATATTGGGGGGATCAAGACGACCTCCGATGTAGGTAGAAGATTCGATTGACGGTGGAGAGTCATCTCCAACCTTTCATGATTCTCACATGTGAAAACCGTTACACCGGCTGATCATTACGTAGGTCTGGATTCCTGGGCGGAGGCTCGTTGTGGCCTGTATCTGAGTCCTGTGTAATAGGATTTGTCAATTGAACTTCAACCGGCCCGATCCTGGACATATAGAACCTGGACATAAGGACCTGGACGTACAGGACCTGGGATATATGGCCGGCCACCCGTTTAGAGGTTGCGGCCGCGGGGAGGGTGGTGGTGGGAATGACCTGAAGCCTATATAGCTATGCGGGTGCGGGACAGTCCTGTGCAACTTCAAGCTGTACCCACCGGCACCGCCGTCGCCGCAGCAGAAATATAGGATAGACCACAGAGCCTATGATTCCGGGATTCCTGACTCGCTAGCCCAAGCGACTATAGTATGGGCCTGCTATGCCCGACCGGCGAAGCCCCAGTTTCACGAAGTGGGCGCCCCAGTGAGCTTGCCCCGCCAGCAGGTTGGCCCCTTCGTGAAGAGGACGGATTTCGTGGGAGGGGCACCGTTCGGGAGGTTGGCAGAGTATATATCTTATGAACCACTGTACTATATATTGTGTCAAAGATTAATATACGAGCTTGGTACTCTAGCAGATAGCATGGAAGGATCAGAACGCTTATATAACCTAGTGATATTTAATTACATTCCCTAAATTTGTACTGATATTTCCTTACGGATTTCCTGCTACATTATATATATATATGAGAATGAGTTTACCCTAGCTTTTTTCGCATTCTAACGAAGTTGTAGCGTATGCCAATCGGATCATGCTTGTTGAGCAGGACAGGCACTTCGTGTGCAGGCTGACCGACCGGAGTACCATATTGGTTCCTTGAGCAGGACAACCCGCTGGTGGAGTAACCTGACCGGTGCGTCCATTTCGTGAGATTGAAAACTTCGCCGGCCGGGCAGAACAGTAATACCTGCGGGAAAGAGGGGTTAGAGGTTGATGTTGGTTTCACTGCTTGCTCTCGCCGTGATCATACAATGAGCCGTCCTATATATATGTCCAGTATTAATTAATAATCATGTTGCGCATGGCGCACATGCAGGCAGGCCACCCAAAGCGCGCAACACTGCTGAACCTGCAAACAACGGTCGAGTGTAACGGTGAGGACTTGATTTTGGATGACCACTGCATGTTTCGTTTCAATTCGCCGTTGGTTTGCTGCTCTCTGTCCCTTCGTCTCTCTCCCGCGCCCAGCGCGCCACCGCCGTCCTCTTCGTCTTTTGTGCAGCGATATGTGCATCCTTCGTTACATATATACATGCCCATCATTGCCATGACCTCCGACCCGGACCGGGAGCGATTGCGGCCAACCTGTGTCCATGGTTATAAACGATTGACATGACGTAGACATGTGACATGGAATGATGTGAAACTGCGGGGTTTCCGAGTTCGCCTAGTGAGGATTTGGGCTTGTTCCTGGCTCACCAGGTTATAAAACATGGGATCGATTCCTTCTCCTTATCAGGATCACCGCCCTCTCATCCTCCATCTTCTCATACCCGATTACACACACTCACAAAGTCAATTACTTCACAACCGTCTCCAAGATGAGCCCGCTGACCCACTTTAGCTCGCCAGCCTTCCTCACAGACTTCACGCCGAAAAACGCAAAGCGTTGGTCCACCGAATACGTCAGCGCTCAGATAACGGCACAAGTCGAAAGGCCGGAAATCTCGCAATTCTACAATGAGCTCACAAGTAGCTGGACAGAGACGCCAACACAGGCATCCATCACCTGGGTGGCCTTCCCCAACAACGTCGCGATCTCCGAGGGGAGCGATAGGGCAAGATGGAGGAGGGCGGACCTAAGAGGCGTACAGGATGAGTATTGTGAATGGACCGTGCAGCGCAACGAGAAGAACGAGATTGTCCGGGTTGTGTTTACGGCCGAAGGCCCAGAGGTATGCCTGGAGTATATCTTATCCTGCTTGGGTATCTGTGGTGGGCTGATTGATAAAATCACCTCAAGTACTGGGATCGCCTGGCGGAAATGCAGCCGGAAGCTGTCCTCGACCTGTACAGAAAGCATAACCCCGGCTTCGACATCAAGAAGAAAGATCTTTTCCCAAACGGCAAGTACACTCGATACAACAAATGGAACGACTCGTCGGTCCCCGGCTGCATCATGCACTTAGCCCACAGAAACAACACGCTGGGGGCCCAGTTCAAACTCGCCGCAGATTCCACTGTCCTCCGCATCGATGCCGCCGGTAGACCAATCAGAGATGCCGACCGTCTCATCCGATGCAGTCGGCTCGGTGGTCCTGACAGGAACTCTGATCCACATGTGAGCTGTTTGCCCGTTCCCCCTCCCTCTTTCTCTCCCGACAGCAGCACAGGTTCTGACTTTCCCCTCAAATACAGATCGGGATCAAGATCAACGACCTTGCCCATCTCGGGGCACTCATAACGGTTGCGGACCCCGTTGGGCTCTACCTCCACTCCTTTGACGGCAACACCTTCCACGCGCCCGATGGCGCCAACGTCAACGACTTTTGGACCTGGACGCGGGGCACGCCTGCCTGCGAGGGGCACGAGGCATACTGGCTGCGCGCAGTATTCGAGGTGCCAGATGAGAAGGGCTACGTCGTCGGTGACATTGAGGACCAGAACGGAAACCGCATCCAGTGGGGGAGCCAACTGGCCGATCATATCCAGGTGCGGATAACGGGGCAGATAATCCGGCCTGGGCTACACACAGCGGAGGCCCAGCATTGCCTTACCGACCCAGTGGCCATGTCCATGCCGGAGACGAAGGCGATGGCGGCAGCTGTGGAGATTGGGGATGGGTCGTTGGAGAAAGATGAGGAGGGGGAGGTGTGCGATAGAGTTCATGGCATCGAGGACCCTGGGTTCTGCTGTTATTGAGGACGGGTGGTGGCGGCGGTGGTCAGTGTACCTCAGCTGTGCTATACATCTGTTTTATGTAGCTTGATTCGCGATCGAGTACGGTGCACAATGCAATTTTGATCTTCTTGACCTGCGGAATGACACACACCTATATAGAACGGGCAGCGAAGCTATATATACACATGAGAGCGATGTTATCAACTTGCTTCTCAGGTGCTGAGAGCGCTAAAGTATATCCATTCATCTATTCCCGGTAATCACAACCTGTTAGGCCCACGACGGCATCGTGATAGACAAAATCTTTAACGAAAAACAGTTTACTCCACTACCTTTTAGAGACATTCTACGTGACAAGCGGGTCCATCTTGCAATGCCAGCCCACATTTGCAGTTAAATTCTACAATGTATATGGTGAGCTACTAATCGCCATATGTCGTGCGTTTTCAGGAGCGCGCTCTATTTAGAGAGACTAAACCGGTCGAGCAAAATCTCTCGTAAATCCTCTACTAATAAACCTAACCCTTACTCCGTGAACCTCTTTAGTGTGAATGTAACGCTCGCCACCCTTCCTTCAGTAGATCTTCCTGTTTTTTGAACGAGTTTCTTCCCTTTTTGGCAGCGTTAAAATCCGATAACAGCTAGTATAATGAATATTACCACACCATTTGTTCGGCAAAAAGTTGTGAATTGCGGGAACGAGCAAAGGGAAACGTACGAAGGGACATGTGGGGTAGGGTTTGTGGCGGGAGATTAATGTTTCCGAGCCACGAAGGGCGCTTCCTTCTTCCTGCCCCTCCTTTTCTTTTTTCTTTCTCTCTTTCTCCTTACTTTTTAGGACGGGCTCGCACAACTGCAATAGAGACGTTTAGCCACCAGCAACAAAGAAATCCACAAACGATGAATTATTGATTCCCAAGACCATTGTGCATGAGCTAGTTAATTCCTTACCCCAGATCGTCTCAAAACTACTCTGAGAGGGGAATCTTAGGCACCAGGACCGAAAATATCTCTAGTCGTAGCCTTGAGTCTCGAAAATATTATATCACAATGTCGGGGTTGGGAATAATCTTTTGTTCGTTGCTTTAAGGTTCTGGCTAAAAGTCTCTAATGAGGCCCGAGCTCTCACTCGGCACCATACTTGCATTGATTGCGCTAAGAATGGTAACTACCTGCGTCATGGCTCACAACCGAGATGGGCTGCATGCGCGCGAGATTGTCAGGTACCGAACAGGGGTAGCATGTACAATGATCTATGGAAAAAAACAGTTATATGGTGCACAGATATTTCGCCATACAATATCACCCCCCTGTTTTTCCATAGATCATTCTGGTCGCTGTAAGGGAAGCGTGCAGGGGTATGAGGCGGCTCTGCTGCGATGACGATAGTGAACGTCCGGCGGTTAGCATGTTGCGACTCCGACAACGAGTGCGCGGTTGACAATGTAAGTGGAAGTGGAAGATTGTCGATCGCGGGTTTTGGCTCGGCTGAGCTGGTTGAGAAAATGGTGCGGCAAGTGGGTCGTTGCGAGGGTGCGTATATGGAGTGGGTGAGGGTCGCGGGGTCGGGTAACCGGGGTGATCTCGTGGTTGTTGTAGGCGGGGATCTCTACCAGATATGTAAATACATCATTTTCTTGTATGGGTAAACTCGTCCGAAAGTCGTACTTAAATGTGTTATACGTGGAAATGCATCAATAATGGATCAAACAACAAATCTTTTAATGCGTCATTAAATGCATCGATTGATGCATTAAATTGCTGCATTAAGAGTACGCATTTACAGTCACTCTGCAACAGTGTTAGCGATTCCGATTTCGGGATAAGACATTTCTCCATATGTCACCGTGGCTGGCCATCAAGAACACCCAAAGAGAAAACTTTCCCAGTAATCAATGGCACTCAAATCAATGAAGAATGAGATCAATGACCTATCTTCTTTTTATTCACGAACTGTATTATATATTTTTTGTTATCTTTTTGAATCTCAACTTTAATAAAATCAGTATTACGGGTGCGCCACACTACACGCTGACATTGAAACCATATATTACTTAGCCGCTATGGTTGTTGCCCGCAGCGTTAATAAAAACAAAAAGTGAGCGTTGGGGATTTGAGCTAGAGCCGATCTCTGAACTACTCAATGTCCTATCTACTACGCCATGCATGATGATTAATGTATCTTTCTAATTGTAGAATTAATGAATGAAAGATAATGGGGAAAGATCTCTAGAATGATCATCAAAGTCGTATGGGGTCTGAATAGATTAGAATTGGTACGCATTCTCTAAGATTATAGCTAATGCTAGTGAAAATCATTACTTTGTCCTGCAACGTAACCCACCGTGAGGGGAATTAATGAATTAAACAAAAAAAAAAAAAAAAAACCCACCGTGAGGGGGTTGTAATCATTTGGCCAATTAAGAACGACATTACGTGCTTAGTAATGTTTCCCAGCCCCGTGACATCGAGATCAATTAAGTTGAAGCAAGCCAAACAAGTCTATCTAACCACCCAATCAATCAACGAATCAATCAATCCATAGACTCAGTAAGTGCGGTAAGGTCGAGTGATGATTCATGAGTCGAGTGACAGTGCATGAATCAGATTAGTCATCGAGTGAGTCCTTGTGATGCTATCCCATGAATCAGGCGGTCACCGAGTGACCACTTATGCTTTCAGTCACAGGGCATTACTCGCCACTTGCTCAAACCCGCAAACTCATTACACCCACCTAGGTCTCATTTCCAAAAATTGCCTCTTGGCGGCGACCTAGGTCTGCATCGTAATACCCTCCAATCTACCTATGGGATTGTCAATGAAACACTCAAAAATCAAACCTGAAAAGAGATGGGTATGGCCAGAACTGAGTACACGGACAGGGCACTTAGGACGTCCATCACATAATGGTGGAATGCTACTCGACAGAAGAATTCATGACATGGGAACCGCAAATATACCTGCGTGGAAAATAACTATGGAGGAGCTGCAAGGCCATGCCAACCGCCCTCGAAAGCTGGAGTCATTTCTGGAGCTGATGACACCCGCGCGAACGAGTAGAAAGCAGCGAATCAAGCGAGTTACACATGGGTGGGGCATCTGAGCATATAATAAATTTAGAATTAAGGAAAATACGAGCAATAGTTACAAATTGTGGAAAGAATAATTATTTCCTTTGTCTATCTGAATACCTATACTCTAATTTGTCGGTGTGGAAGAGATGGAGAGATGGGGAGAGCAGGGTGAGGGTGAGAGGAGGGTGAGTACCAAAGCCTCCGGGCTCCACGTATATACGTTGTGATATAATGTCCACTCTACCAGCCATGGAAATGAATCTTTTGATGCCTTTCCCACCAAACCGATTTTGGAGAGTTGCGCCGCTTATGTACTACCTATTTTGTACAAGTGCGCGTCGTCATCTCAAAGCGCCTTTTTTAATGCCTTTTCTTATGTGCCTTTTCCTGTGCCTTTTCCTGTGATTTTTCTACAGTAAATACGGTTTGAGGAACGTACGGAGCTTAATATATCAATCAATGGGGTAGGTGATAAGATGTAGACTGTGTAACTGCTGTTCTCCAGGTTTAATCCCTAAGCAAGTCTTTTTTTATTTTTTTTATCTTTATTTTTTATATAATTTATATATAAGTTTTGATTGGTAGTAATGTGTTTATTAATTCACTTCCCTATAGTAAAAAGATTCATTTCCTTAGTAAAGACAGTTCAACTATTAAACACATTTCCGATGATTCATTTCACACCAAAGTTTTACCTGAGTATAAGATTCATTTTTTGATTCATTTCAATAGTTGGTAGAGTCACGCACACCGGTACACAACGTGACGGTACACCTTTCTCGCAGGTATGGAAAACAATAGACTCTCTTGGGTCAGGAACATACGGGGACGTAGTCCTCCAGGAACTACAAGGCAGCCCAGGAGGCGGATGCCTCCATGCAGTCAAGTCGATTACCAAAAAGGCTCACAAGAATAACAAAAAGATCCTGACGAATGAGTTGAAGGCACTGATCGCCGTGAAGAAGGTTTGATACCACCTCCAAGTTTACAACATTCCCCGGCTCATGCACTAATGTATGTGTTGATGTCCATCTTTAGCACCCGACCAAGGTTGTCACTTTCCACGGATGGTACCAGGACTCTCAGCAGACCATGTTCATCGCCATGGAATATGTCTCTGGTGGCAGTCTGGAAAGGTACATGAGAAAGCTAAAGAGAGTTGAGGTGAAAAAAATATGCCGTGAGGTCACTGCACAACTGCTGGAAGCACTTGTGGAACTGCAAAGAAAGCAAATAGCGCATCGTGATCTGAAGCCATCGGTTTACCACCCCAACATCCTTTTCTGGTATTTGTGATTTATGTTTCATGACGCTGATATGATGTATCTCGCTGACTAGAACATCCTCATCTCGTCCACCTCTCCACTACTTGTCAAGATTTGCGACTTCGGCATTGCAAAGTCAGCGGACATCGATGCCAGTGGCTTGAAGACCTAAGCTGGTACGGTGTAGTATATGGCTCCAGAGATACAGGGCTATCTCCCCACCGAAAAGTATGAATCACGGGGAAGGTACACCATCGCGGTTGATATGTGGTCACTGGGAATGGTCTGCCACGAGCTCCATACCGGGTCTGTACCGTTTTGGAAGACGGCGGATGAAATGGATGATGATAATGACGACGATGACATATCCGAGCTCTTTAGGTCGTCGCTATCTCTGAAGGACCAGGAACCAAGATATGAAACTGCGTACACATCGGTCAAGACCCCCTTAGACCAGAGTAAAACAGGATATGAAATCGCGCACACATCGGTCAAGATCTACTTAGACCAGACCGAATTTCGGCGCTACTGCAACGGAAGCGCGTTTCCGGACAAGCCTTTGAACAAAAGCGGCGTGTCAGAGGACGCCAAAGAGTTCATTCTCTCCTTGTTAGAGGTCGATCCTATGGAACGTCCGTTTGCGCAGCAGGCACTCAGGCACCGCTGGATTACCGGAGGTGGATCGGCTGCTAATAGCAGTCCTCAGCAATCACGCTCCTCGTCCCAACGCAATACGCCCCAACCAACTCGCACCAGTGTTACTTCACCCCCGGTTAACTATAACAAAGAACAACAACCTCCGAGCCAGGGAGTGAATGGATCTTGGAATCCTCAGCAGATATCCTCACCCCACAGTTCCAATGCCAGTGCATCTCCTTCCGGATCAGCTCAGAGAGGGCGCTATCCTGATAATTACCCTCCCCGTTCGTCCTATAATCCTAATGGCTATGTATTCTCGAGTCCCAATCCCAATGGCTATCAGTTGCCTGGCTATCAGTTGCCTGGCCCTAATACCCATGGCCATGTGCCTCCACAGTCGGGGCCCAATCCCAACGGCTACCAATCAATTCATAACTCCAACCTATATCCATCTTCAGGTCCTAATTCCGGTGGCTATCCGCTCTCTAGCCCTGATTTGAACATCTACCAGTCATCCGGCTATAGCCCTAATGGATATCAAGATTCAGGCCCTAACACCAATCGTTTGCAGCCTTCGAATGGGATGATGAGTTACGGTGGGCAGGCCCACCAAAACATGGGCCCAGGCCCAGGGGAAGGGAATCCATATTTCTCTCAATCTCCGATATATACCCAGCAGGGAATGCCGTCCCAACAACCAACTGGCTATGAAGGTCCCCCGCGCGGGTACGAAGGACCTATGCACCCGGGTGCGATGATAGGCGGTCCTTGCTCTTGTCCAGAGTGCTATGAGTCAGACTCTAACTCTGATGATGACAATGGAATGTATCTTATGCCTATGCCGGGGGGTATGGGACCCCCGGCGATGGTACCCACGTTAGTGGGTCAGCCACCATCTAGTGTTATGACATACTACTAGTCATAAATAGCAGTGGGGTCGTGGTAATTGTACACGTTTGGAGGAGAGATGGCTATGGACTGTTTGCATTAGGTTGATCTCGGTAGGTGAAGAAGGGGGCCGGGTAGTATGGGAGGAAGAGAGGGGGGGGGTGGGGGGTGGGTGGGTGCCAAAAGGGGACGATACCGGTTGGGTTGGAGGGATTGATTTTGGTGATGGAAAAGGTCAACGCGGAGAGCTTACTGTTGATCAGTATCACATTCGTTTTCTCAATTTTCATAACATTAGTATTTTGAGTTTTGTCCTATTTCTCATCCTTTTTCGTCATATTTTAACGCCCTCTTTCTTCCAATTTAACCATTTTGTAACTCGTTCCTCGTTCCCTCTTTTCTGGGTAGCCTGTATGGAAACGTGAATGTTATGTCTTTCAATAGTGATATCTGGACAGGCAAAAGGACTTTTGAATATCAACTTTTTTTAGTAAATATCGATGCTTCATTTCTATGCATGCGAGTAAGCCCAATCATGGAACTGCTATATTGCCAATGTCGGTTAATGGATGGCCCGCCATGGAGTCTTTCGGCAATGAATCTCATGATGACTTACTTTCAAACGGTGATGATAGGAAGTAGCACCACTCGTGATTTACCAACGCTGCTTTCAAGATATCAGAGAACAATTGAAAGAAAGGCTAGCTCTCTATCAATGTGTGGCGGCACGTACATGATGGGACTGACGCAATATATCATGGCTCATTGAATAATGGCACTGAGACTCGGGTGTTAATTATATGGTCGGATGTCATTGCGACCACGAGCGAGCGAGACCGTACTGATATTGTCTGCGTGCAAGGAAGAAACGATCTGAGCCCAAAACTGGACCCGTCACACGGCTGGCGCCTTGGCTTAGCAATTGTGAGGTACATATATGCTAGTAGTGGCCCACCTCGCGACCGCGAGGTCTTACTCCTGCTCAATAAACTCTCCTACCTCCGTGTAGTACTTCCCACCTATAGTAGTTGGCCATCTCCAGTAATTAATTATTATTGTCCTTAGCTATTCCATGGCCAGCTCCAGCTCCCAGCGTTGACCATATCCAGCTCCATTATGGAGTATAGCCAGCTCCCGCATTTAACTATCCAGCTGGGTGGGTAGTTTCTCACCCAGAGTACATGTAGTTTGCCCACCTCTGGTAGTGATCCATTTATCAACAGTGAGGTATCTCGACTCATGCCTTCTTCACTTATATTGCAGCCGCCGATTCCACCTCCGTGTAGTAGTTGGCCAACTCCAGTAGTTAATTAATTTTGCCCTTAGCCACCTCGTGGCCAGCTGCCACCCCGTTGACCATAGCCAAATGTGGTAGTAATCCAGTTCATGAGGTATTTCGACTCATGCCAGCTCTACTGTACTTAGCCACCTCCAATAAATACCACCTCCAATACCCATCCTGTTAATGAGTTCGGCATTCCAGTGTCATTGCCCGCTCCCAATCTTTGCTGGGGAGAGCCGGTTGCTACCCAGTTTGTGCTTACTAAACCTACCCCTGTCGCTGTCGACCAATCAGACTGCAAGAACCTCGGAAAATCATTATTCTAGTACATAGTAGATAGTAGATAGTAGACAGTTCGAGCCCTTCTCTGCTCGCGAGCTGGCTGGGCGCCAGGTGCTTGCCAAGCTTACACCCCCGCACACAACTGTTTTTCTTCTTTTATTTCCTCATCTAGTTGCAACTGAAGAGACCTCGGAGGCGGGCCATAGTAGTTATCAGGGTGAACGGATAGGCCAGGCCCCGGTTCAAGGGCGGAAGCTGGTCCTTGATCCTATGTATCCATCTCCTCTGGATTCTAATTAGCGACTTGAATTTTGCTATCGATGAATACCTCGACTCCCGGGGGAGGGTGTAAGATGATATGACGGAAGCGTACGTCCAGCCGAATGGTAATACCAGGATTACTCCGACGAAGAGCGCATCCTGCTCCGTGCGTTTCTTTTCTTTTGTTCTGTCAACGCGACCTGTACTAGCCGCGTGACAAACTTGGAAGGTTCAAACCGAGTTACTAACAGACAAGTTTAAACTAGTTAAAAACTGTGTTGAGGTAAGTTGGGTGTCATGGTCATGAACTCGCTACTGGCCAGTAGTGGAAAAGGACTTTTTTGGTATGGGTTAGGGTAATTTGGGGTGTAAAAACTGGAATTTAAAGTGGATTAGGGTAATTTTGACGTAAAATTGGAGTTGACATCGATCAGGGTTAGTTCTAGACATTGACAGTTTAGGAACTGCTGTTTATGACAGACTGAGTTTGTTACGGGTCACTAGAAGGGATGGCCCTGTGCGGCGCCTATCGGGCCTACTTGCGCGGGGGCGGGGCAGAATAACAATGCATATGGCAAGGTACAGGGAGTAAGACGTCAATGTGCTGCTCGAGAGTGGCGCAATATGGATTTAGGAAAGCTTGTTTTGACGTCGCGGACAGTGTGCTCCTTTATTGATTGGGCCTAGCTTCCGCCCTCTCATGAGCGGAAGATAGGTAGATGTTAGGTGTAAACTTGTTGGGGTTTAGTTTGCCGCGGGGGCGCCTGTTCCGGCTCATTCATGAAGCCGGTTTATTCATGCCCATTTTCGTTTAACACCTCATCCATGCTAACGCAGTACTCCTCTACTCCCAGACGGCCTTCTTTATCGTATAGTTGGGGAATAACCTTTGCAATACGCGGATGAGCAGATTAGGGGAATAATCTTGCAATACACCGTGGAGAGAGATCAGCTGGAAGAGCTCACCATCTTAATCCGTAACAATCAATACTTCCTGATTGAACTGGTTCACGGATGAAACTCCGCGAGTGAACTGTCTTCGTGAATGAGCCGTAACATCGCTTGAGTCTGTATCGTTGCCACTAGCTAGCTAGTGATGTTAGTTATCACATGTGTAAGATCTACTAGCTATAGACATGCAGCGGAGCATCACTTCCTTTTTCCCCCGCAAATCTTGGGATGATTGGTCACTTCGCAGTTGGCCAATCGGCACTGAAAATGGCCCACTACCTATGTTCCTACCGAGTACTACTAGGAGTACTATCACAAGTAGCTGTGGCCCTGTGGACGGCGCGATTGCGCGCTATCAGTTACACATGTTACAGAATTACAGAACTCAAGATCTCAAACGGTCATGGCGATTGATTGCGATACGAATGGATATACGATACGCTTCTTTGATCTGAAAGCTTGATTCGATTGCACGCGCAGCAAGATTGCGGAGTACCTGCCTTAATTATATGTAACGGTGGACTCCCGACAGTTACTATAAGAAAGACCTCATTCCCCACCTCTACCCCTCCCCATTCTCTCCCCAGGGGCAAGACGGTATTTGTGCGGACCACCTTCCGACTGGCATGTGTACCCTCACTGGGATGGTTATCGACGTTTGCGGCCGGGACACATAAAAAGAAGGTTTAACACTGTCTTCAACTCGTCCCGGATGTCGCAGCACTAGGCCAAGTCTGTTTCACGTGTCTAGTCTTAGCGAACTTAGAATTATAGTTAGGGCTTCTCTCAATACCGTAGCCTACGCTTGAATACCGGGCTTGGACTACTTAGGACTTTGGGCAAAGAGGAAATAGCCGTGAAAGCTAGTGGTTGATTAGGAAATACATGATTGCCGGAATCTGTCACCGGTGCTCTGCCCCGACGTCATTCCACCTGGTCCCGCGAAGATTGCGGGTGATACAGGTGGGCATATATACCGGTGGATATTCAGATTCAGCGCACCCCATCCCCATGCGCAGCGTTGCGTTTTACCTGTTCCTGACGGTAGGAGGTGGCGCGGGGGCTTAGGCTAGAGGTGTTGACAATTGGGAATGCCGAGAGAGGGGCGGAGGAGGTTTCTACGTTTCAATAAATGCTCGGTGCTTGTTCTCCTCCAGCATCGTCCAGAACACTAAGAAAACACGGCATGATTCGGGCTTTATAATATGCTCCGGCATGATGACGCGCCGGTGTTCCATCTTGTTTATTGGGCAGTTGTATGTTTTTCTAACTTCCTTATGCTTTTATTTCTCCCTATTTCTCCTTCCTCGAATCATGATGTTGCCAGAAAGATGCTTATACAGCAAATGGTGTGATTATTCTACAGGGGCCTAAAAACAGGGTTCCTATGGTCGGGCAAGCTAGAAGGACTCCTCCTATCATAATCCTCAGTGAATCATTCCAGCCGCAACCTTGGTTAAAACAATCCCCACGCGTAATTCTTTGGGTCGTCTCAATGTCACGAACCGCCGTTTCAGGGTTAGGGTTGAGTCGGCAAGTTCCCAAGCTCGACTCCCCCGGCCCAATCTATTTAGCGCGCTATTTACATAGTGATTGAGCATGCAGATCTCAATCTCTCTGCCTGCAATTGAGCCTCACAAACTAATTTATTCATTTAAACCGCAAACTAGACAAGAGTTATCATCGGAATTAAATGGGCTTTTGTCCTTCGTTGCGCTTGACCGCACCTCATCCTACCATCTCCTAAACATACAGCAGGCGAAACTTGGCTAACGGACATTTTGTTTATTCACCATCTCTATCTCTGGAGAGGGCTGGCCCACACCGCTTGACCATTTATCACGAATCTAAGCACTGAGTCATGGGTTGTTGAAAGGCTAGCAACAATAGTTTTCATCAGAAGACTGGTACAGCGTCAATTCAACACTACGTATACTATCACAGCCCAAAGTGCATATATCTCAAATCTCCAAATTCTTGCCAAACAACCAGACCAACGATATCCGACAACTACCTTCATAATCCTAACCGTCTGCTATTCCGGGCAGTTGTTATCCATCCACGTCTTGAAAAGCGCCACCGCTTCCGGAGGGAATTTCTCGGTGGAGTCGTATGTCCTTGGCATATCGCCGGAATATATTGCGTCGTAGATGACCTTAGCTTGTGTAGAAACATCTGGATATTGATCGAGGTTGAGGTTATAGGGACGCATTTTGAGGATCCAGTAACTGCCGACGATTGTCCGATCACCGTCG